ATATATGTATATGTATGTATATGTATATGTATGTATGTATATACTGTATATACATACATACATACATACATACATACATATATATGTAGATGAGAAGGTGTTGTCATGTTACATTCATGAGAGGCAGACTGGGGTTGCTACTTCCCCACAATAACAACATTAAATAAATACACTAGGTTTGATAGTAGATAGTAGTTTTTAACTTGTTTGTATGTTGTTGACTTTTGTGCAGCCACCCAAAAGCAGCAAAGGCAAAGGCTCAAGTAAAAAGCCTGCAAAGGTAAAAACGCCCACACTGATAGATGGATTCACCAAGGAGGAGCTCTCCAAGGAGCAGGTCAGAGATTAAAGTTGGGTGTGTGTTGGAGTGATGCTTGTATATTCTATGTCAGGAGAAAAGAAAAGTTTCCTTTTCAAAGTGATTTGTACATTAAATGGGTATTTCAGCAAATTGGGTTTGCCCTTACATACAGCTGGAGGATTCCCAAGAGACAGGTTTAAATAAGAATGGTCCAAATCAATGCAGCAGAGGCCGAGATATCTCGACTTTGGTTTCCTAGTGTGGGTGAAGTTCTCAAAACACTGGATACGACCTGAAGCATCTTTTCGTAAGACCCTCCCTGTCTGGTGAAATGCTCATCAAGTTTAAACTCCCCACTTTTTATTGCAGGCCTTTTCTTATAAATTGGTAATCTCTAGGCCCATTCCTATAGCCCTGAATCTGGATTATTTTTCTCAAACTTTAGTCTGGTTGAAGGTTGCAATGCCTTTATTTAATAAATGTTTTGATTAATTATTTTACCCTAAAATGGTGTAACTTTGTTTAAGAAAATACATTATTTTTTGTGTATATGTTCGTTTTTCTCTTAGCTTTTTGTAATTTGTTGATACGGGTGTATTTTACTTTGTTTTACTGTATGTCTGTTCATATATAAAGATGTATATTGAAATTGATATAATTAATTATTCTACAATTAAATACACTTAAATATGTGATTTACAAGAAGTGCAACTACAAACAAATCACATCATTTTCACTAGAGTCAGAAGCTGAGATAACAGCTACTGATACTTTGTTAAGCTATTTGCAATAACTTTACAGGACTTTGTTCTCCATCATGACTGCTTGTTTTATTTACTGCAAATATGCATGCTGTGTTAACAGAATCTTTAAAGATTTTCAGACTTTCCTCCAGAGCCACAGCAGACATTATATGTCTGATTTATATTACTGCCCCCTGTGAACTAAACATTGGACTTTGACATTTACAACTAGGATAAATGAGGTAATTGGCTACACGGTCATCTAGATCGTCTGGCTCATATGCCCACACTAAAATACATTTCTGTATTTCAGCTGGAAGAGCACATCGTGCACCTTCGAGAGGAGCTGGACAGAGAGAGGGAAGAGAGAAACTACTTTCAGCTGGAGAGGGACAGGATCCACACATTTTGGGGGATCACAGAAAGTAAACTAGAGGAGGTCATGGCTGAAAAGAAGAATTTTGATAAGGACATAGAGGAGGATGAGGGGCGCCACCAAATAGAGATCAAGGTGAGGTTAATACACAGGTGTATTGTAGTTATAGTCGAACTGCACCCAAATTCACAGGCTAGATTTTGACCACGTCTTTATTTTATGCCATAATATGCCGTAACAGGTAACAAGGATCTTTAAATGCAGTCAGTAGATGCAACCTTTTTTTGATCCACAGCCAGTGTATTTTTTTATCCTCAGTATCCCACAATCCATTGTGCATCCGTAGTTTTTTTTAGTGGCATGTACCGGTTGTCCTCTCAACTTTAAAAGTTAGGAACAATCATGTGATTGCATTCTTTTTGTTCAGATACTAGTACTAGTTTGTCATTTGTTAAGCAAATATTATCCATTGACAGATGTAAGGGCTAAATTAATTTTAAAATGCACATTTGATTCATTTTTTCCCACCAGGTGTACAAGCAGAAGATGAAGCACCTCCTGTGTGAACACCTGAACACAACCTCTGAGTTAAAAGCAGATGGTTTAGTCTCCACACAGGTGGTGCAGGAGGAGCAAGAACAATTAGAGACTGAGCTTCATAAGGAAATGAGGGCCGTCATGGTCGACATGCAGGAGCTTGACAATGAAAAGCTTGTCGAGGAGCTTGAACTGGTTTGTAGTACACACTATTATTTTAAACACTTAAAGATCTGTGGATTTAATGTGTCTCTTTACTTTGATATATTGCAACAATTGAGCGACAATGCTACAAACACCACTTTTGTTTTTACCTCAACAGAAACACGGCGAAGAAATGACTAAAACAAGTAACAGGGGGGAGAAGCAAATTGCAGGTAAAGAACTAATCTCATTTTGAGTCGAATTCAACACCCCGTGCTGTCAGAAACTAAACAGGAGCGCTCGTTTTGTGTCGCTATTTGAGTAGAAATCCTAGCCAAGTATGAGGAAAAGATGGAGCTGCTACAACAACAGCTGGACAACATGACAAAAAATAAGACCAGTGAGAATGAAGATCAATGGAACAGCCACATCAGCGCTCTAGTAGCAGACCACCAGAAAGCATTAACTGAATTTGAAGCATTCAATACTTGCTTGGAACAGGAACTGAATGTGAACGATTCACTCAAGGTATAAGTGCTCACAGTCAGAGGCATTTCAGATGTTTTGTTTACACCAGCAACACATTATTAATTTAGTTATTGATGAGTATGTTGATTTTTTTTTGTTTGTTTTGCAATTAGACATGCCCGTGATCCAGCTGTTTTTTTCTTCACATGGCTTGTTTTATTGACTTTTCTAAGGAAGAAATTGAATTGCTGCAGAAGACACAGAAGGAGAAGAAAAAGTACCTGGCCTACCTTCTGCCAGAGAACAAACAGATGGCTGAGCTTCTCTCAAAAGTCTTGGAGGAGAGCGCGGAAATTGAGAGAAAAATGAAATGCTTCGTATTAAAAAAGGTTGTTGGTGTAGTATATGTGGATATGTTTTAAATGTGTTTGTGGTTGAAACTTTGTGCACTCACATTTATTGCTGCCAGTGTCTTAATTGTTCCTGACATGTAGCATACTGTACACGGGCAAAAGGTCAAATTGTGACACTGTTTTTGACAGGATATCAATGAAAAGGTTGAAAAAAAGAAACTGGATGAACTGAAATGGGATTATGAGACACTGGAACAGACATTCTGCAAGGTAAATGCTTTGATTGAGTTGCACTGTGTTATGTTGACACGTTGAAATGTTAGCTTGATTCATGTACACCTGATGTGGCCAAATGCTTGTTTACTTTTGAATATTTGTGTGAATGTTTTTGCATTTGCTTTTGTCTGTGCACATGTCATACAGCTTCAGCTAGAAAGGGATGAGCTGTACCAGACGTTCACTCAGAATATTCAGCGGGTGCAGCATGGAGCAGATTGGAAGAGCATGCCGCTGGAAAAGAAGCTGAAAGGCCTGACAGACGGCCTGGAGAAGACGCAGGCTCAGCTCCTCTCTGTGCTTTCTGCCTCTAACATGGACCGAACTGCTCTTGATGGGGTCTCTAACACAATTGAGGTGAATTTTCTCTTAAATAATGTGTGTTTTATTGCACATTGCCCTCTGTACAAAAACATAAAATAATCATGTTTTTGCTTGTAGATAAATCTGGACTCCAGTAATAATTACATCAAGAACTTGAAGTATAAAAAAGCTCAGCTTTCCCAGGTAAGAAGTGTGTTTACTTCCTGGAAGTGTCATGCATTTGTCAAATTAATGATGATGTTATATACAATTTTGTAGTAATATTCATACTTGTGTGTCCGGCAGGCCCGTAAGGATTTGCTGCTGACCTACGAACAGTGGTGTATAAAGTACCCAAAAGCCATACTTGAGTAAAAGTAAAGATACCTTACTGGAAAACTACTCCAGTAAAAGTAAAAGTCACCTATTAGAATACTACTTGAGTAAAAGTCTTAAAGTATCTGATATTTACTGTACTTAAGTATCAAAAGTACTTTTCTGATATTAAATGTACTTAAGTATTGAAAGTAAAAGTACAAGTAAATGCTGTTAATAAAAAAGCAAAGGGTCAGAATTTTGAGAATTATGAAGTTTATTCTTTTAAGTGCTGTGGCACCAGGACCAAGGACATGGAGCTGTGTTGACAATAATTGGGTTGGCTGTGATCCATCCAGGAGCAACAATGTTCAACATAATATATTGTACATAAGTATACTTTTGCATCTACTATGAACTTATCATCATAATTCTCCGAAAAGCAATATGACACTATGAAGGAGTTGTAACAGTGCGTTTATAAGTATGCTCATTCCGACTAGAGGACGTAGAGGGCAAATGCATAATGTTGTGTTCAGCAGAATATATCCACTTGATGCATCAGGTCAGTGTTGTGAGAAAGGACGCCTGCCTTGTAAACTGATTTGAACACAATGGGCAAAGGTTTTGCTCAAGCTGAATCTGCAATTGGGCGACTGCTACCATCATAACTCCATCTGATCATCCACAAAATGACTCAAGTATCAAAACATGATCAATACTAAAGCAGCAACCCAGTCATTACTTGAAACTGAAAAATGTCCTGTTCATCTTCAAAAGAAGTTGATTTTCAAAATTGCGAGAATTCCGTCTCGCTCTTCTTGGGCTGAAGACTAGTCCTGCGATGCTAAACAGCCTTTCACAGGCCGCTGAGGCAGGTAGAGGTGTGTTCAGCTTCACACACAGCTTGCGCACAGCTGGGAAGGATTCCCCTAATGCTAACCCTAATGCTAACCCTAATGCTAACCCTGATGCTGCGCTCTCGCGGCTCCTGCCAATCCTATGGTGTGGTGGCTAGCTAACGTTAAGTTAGCTAACGTTAGCCAACTAGTGCTGCACAACAGTCAACACTTCCTCAGCTCACTAACTCGCTAGCGATCCACGGGTGTTGGTCTTCTTCACCACCGTAGTTTGTTGCGGGAGTAGCAGGTGCTTCCATTTCTGCTTCCATCTTGAAATCAGTCATCGTAGAGTGGAATTCTGCTCGTGTAGTCGCTCGCTAGCTATAGCATATAGCATCCTGGGCTTCACTGGGAATCTAAACACCGCGGCTTTGAGAGCACTTGTTTTGCGCATTAACGTGATTAACCAATGATTTAACTGATTCGCCAAACCTGCTTGCTTGCAGTCTCTGTTTCTCATATTTTCCCGTGTTGTAAACGTGTTTCTTCTCTCCATTTGAACTAGTTTTGTTTAAGAAAATAAACTATTTTGGGATGTTTATTTATTTTTCTTTTATTCTTTCATAGATAGTTCATAGGGAAAAATGTATTTTTGTTTTGCTGTGTCTGACAATATATTAAGATGTATAATGAAATACGAAAATTAACCTAGAATTAAATACATTTAAATATGTGATTTAAAAGAAGCTCAACTTAATCGTCAAACGCTAAAATGGCAGTTACTGATACTGTTACTGATTGACTGAGCTAGTTACAGTTCTCCATCATGGCTGGTTTTTGATTGCTGTAATTTGCATGCTGTGTTCACAGAATCATTAAAGATTATATCACATCATCGTTTTTTCAACAAACAACAATCAGAATATGGGCTGCTCTGACGTGGTCTGCTAACAGCGAGACATGTCTTATTGTAATGCTAGGAGAGCCATGCATGCCTCTTTAAAACCTCCAACTAGCAGGTCATATATTTCAATAATATGACGTGATATTTAAAAAGCATTTTCAGCACACCAGCAGAGAATCTGCTCTATTTAGGCTATTTGTGCAATCCGTCTGTCCTTCAAAAGTGATGTGTTTATAGCCCGCTATGAGAATGTGCATGACTAGTGTGGTTAAACCTCTGGTTAAATCCTTTAAAAGTTCTGGTTATAATTGTTTCTGTAACTTATGTATCAGAATTACAGCAATTCTTTTTTTGCATTTATAGTTTGATATTTGTGTTCTCAGAATGGATGTGGCGTTGATGTCACTCTGTAAAACTAGTGATCATTCTAGCTCACATTAGGGGACAGTTATACACAAATCTTATTGGCTAAAAATACATTCATTTGTGCATTAATTTGAGAACTGATAATTACTGCTGGGAAGGAATGTTCATAAGCAGTAGCAAAAGTTTTGAGTTACCACCAAACACGGATAATTACAATTTAATTTGATTGATGGAGTATGCTCGACACTATTGTTAGATTTAATGGAAAAAACAATCGCTGAAGGGTGTGTTACTGTTGAGTGGTTACTGCTAAAACATTGTTGTAAAGGGAAGTGAAGTTACAGTATGTTATTTTTTGGATTAAAACTATTACGACAAGAGATTAATATTATGCAAAATAAATGAATTCTTCAGCTTTTAATGTCAGTAAATTGTGGCAAAGATCATCTAACTTTAGGGGTAATTTGAGTATTTATTGTATATTTCCACTGGAAGATGGGGGCTAAAAGTTGGACTCAAACCAAGTATTCCAATCTCAACAGCTAATTTCACCAGCTGATTGCTGCCATGAGTTTCCAGCAGAGAGAGAGAGAGGAACATATGGGGTGGATCCAGTTTCTCATTGAATATTCCTGTGGTGAATCGAGCCCCGTTGCACTGAGTGATCGCTGTTCCCTGCTGTATCAATAATACAGGAGGAAGATATTGTCCCAGTGCAGGCCACAGTATCATACAGCTAAAGCAAGTGGAGGGAGGGGGTGGTCCTTTCACTCAGCCCTCTTGGGTTTCAGGGCCTGCAGACAGTGGTCTGGCTCTGGGGAGCCGGCTGCTGCGCCCTTGCACAGGGCTCAATTGTAAGTCTGCCTGACCGAGGGATAAATGTGTCTAAACAGTGACAGCCTGCACAGTCTCTGCTGGCCCGACCCCGTTGGTAAGACTACACCCCCAACAAACCCAGAGTCACAAGATGGGTCCCAGCTGAGAGACAGCTCAATAGGGAATCAGTCAGTGGGAGACATCGGACAGTTAGAGAATGGGATAGATATCCTGGGTGTGATTAACATGATCCAGATTTTCACCTTGTTTGAGCAACTTGTTGAGTGCTGTGACCTTCCTGCAGCCTCGTGATGGCCCAAAATACTGAACTGGGAACACATAAACCAAAATACTGTACATCTAAATACAAGCAGTGACCTTAAAGATGGAGAGACATGTCGTACCCAAGCTGCTCTCTCTCTTTTCTGCACATTGTCATAGAAAATGGCTAAACAACATATGGTAGCATGTTAACTATATGTAACTCATGAAACATGAAGACAAGCATCAACCCTAAACACCAGAGACAAAAAAGCAAGAGCCCCAAACAGCTAAGAGAGAGAGAGAGAGAGAGAGAGAGAGAGAGAGAGAGAGAGAGGGGACCCAGGTGGGAGGGGTGCAGGAGGAGAGAGTGAAAGGCAAAGAAAGTCGGAGTGATGGTGAAACAGAGTGCCACTCAGAAAGAGGTCAGCTCTGAGTGTGTTGACGCCGCTGAGTTAGAGATGCTGGTAGAAGCTTGAAAGGATACTTAAAGAAGCTAATGGATTGTACTGTTGGTAAGTTTTATTTTATGTTGTTGTTTGTTATTATTGTGAGTTACCACTGACATTTAAAATACTTTAAACAGGGAAAGATCCTTTGCTATTCTTGTCAAACTGTGATCCCTTAAAGAACTGTGTATTTAACTGTGTGTATGAATATCTTGCCCCATGTTCATAACTTTTCTTTGGTCACTCTACATCACATAAGGACCTACCTGTTATAGCCTGCGTCATTGTCTCATAGTGAAGCACATTACCGATACGTGTTTTAGTGACCATGCAGTGAGAGTGGTAAGGTGACGTGGTGGCCAGTCATTAAGGTTTAATATCCCCTCTCAATTGAGATACGTTACTCCTTGAGTCTACTGCGTTGCTGGAAATGAAAAAAAAGACAGTCTCCGTTTAAACACAGGGTTTTTGTAAAATCAATAGGAAAAACAGCCTGAAGGGAAAGATGGGACACCACTGTGTCACTGTGCATGCTGCCATGAGATGAAGATGGCAGAGAAAGGGCCAGGGATGGCCACTCTTACATTCACAAGCATCGTAGTTTGTGTTGTTTTACTGGGACAAGGATCCGCTAAGAAGACAGGTGAGTGCGACATCAAAACGTTTCACTAAATGCAATATTTGTGTGTTTACTAATACATGATGCTGGCTCTAGCTTTTTCTTATGGGACTCTTTCAGGAGGTGGTAAGGAGGACCAGAGAGGTGCCATTATTAAGGAGATCATTTCAAAATGGAGTACAGGAAGTGGCTGGAATTCTCAAAAAGCTCCTCCAGAACCACACAAGGACCAGTCGGTGCTCCCTTGGGTGAGGAATATCATGGGGAGCCTAAAAACGATTGGTGTACTTCCCAGCAAGAACCTGCCTTCATTAAACAAGCCAATTGACAGGCACCGTCTCTCGGGCTTCCTCTACAACATCTCTCTGTACCTCCAAGAGATGGGTGCTGAGCTGGAGGAGGCACCGGCGGACGAGGACCAGCTGTGGGAGAAAGTGCTGCATTACTTCCTCCAGTCTGAAGGGAGTGCTGCACTGAACCAGTGGAACGGCCAGGTCCCACCCCGACCCAGCGTCACAGTGCAGGACTGGTTTATGTCTCTGAGGGGAAGCCCTCACTGGGACTGGCTTCTGGGGCTGCTGCAGAGTCTGATCAGTCTGTCAGAGCGTCAGTCCTACCGGCCTCTCTTGACTTTCTTATCTCAGAACTGGAGGACAGTGAGCGCTGTGTTTGAAGCTGCACTTCAGGCTCTGCTCAGTGGGACCTATGGTCAGGCCAGTGCAGGCCTGCAGGGCTTCATCTGTGCTCTAAAGGGTCGCAGTGACTGTGCCTTCAGTGTACACTGGCTTCAGCAACTGCTGCGTTTTCTAG